ACTGTAACACAATGTAATTGTTACACAAAACGCATACATGGAAACTTTGTTTACAAAACTTACCTTTCGCCATGGTTGTTTACATCATAACTCTGCGCCTGTACTCTCTCATGCACACATTCTTCTCTCTCTCATTTATTTCGTTTTATCTCTTTAACTTACTCCACCCAACATTAAGACTACAAATATTTTAAGGTAAGTAATGAGTGAACTGTATATACATATTTATCGCTCTGGATCTTTAAATATCCAAGAATCTATGTGTGGTTGGGTTGGCCTGTATGGTAGCCCGGCTGGACTACCATTACATACCACACTTGATTTTTACAATAAATCAACTCATCCCACCCTATATTTTAAGGTAAGTAATGTGTGAACTGTATATACATTTTATCGCTCTGGGATGCTTAAATATCATAGAATTGTATTGTGGGTAGGGTGGTCCTGGTATGGTAGCCTGGCTGACTACCATTACATACCACACTTGATATCTTACAATAAATACTACCTTGATCTCACTCCTAGATTAAGACTATAAATATTTTTAAGGTAGTAATGAGTTCACTATGTGTGTATTGTACTTTTTATTGGTTTTTTGATGCCTGGTTTCTATTGCTAACTTAATATATGTTAGTGTAAATCTTGTTTATCTAGTGTTTGTATGCATTGTAAGGAAAAAAAGGTGTTCCACTTTACGGCGGTTTCTGCTTTACCGGCGGTAAGCCTGGAACCTAACCAGCCGTATAAGTGGGGACTTCCTGTATATTATATATATAAATATATATATAAATTATATATATATATATAAATATAAAATATATAAATATATATATTATATATATATATATATACACATATACTTACATACATACATGACTTATCCCCCCCTCAACATTCACGAGGGTTTAGGGGATCAAGGCCTCGCGAGTAATGTTAAAAACCGTGGATGTTATTGGTGCCTCAACCCCAATATATGTAGGGAAATATACATACAATACTGTCTTCCTTAACTTGTTGAACCGAACAAATCCCCACCAAAAATAAAATACATAAAACGTCGTAAATTGTATCTAAATACATATGTTTAATGGCCTTAACAACATGTATTTTCCTAAAACCACTGCCTCCACCACTGCGAGTCCCTACCTTACCCTCCCTCCGACCCCCAAAACTGCAGCCCGCCCTAGCCCACCACTGTGTGGAGTGTTTTGTTTTGTTCATTTTTGCTATTAAAACAACAGTATAAATAATGTCAACCCATTTGTCTGCATCATTTGAATGGCTATTCGGACAGGTATTGGAAGGTGACATCAAGTGTTTACTCTTGAACACAGCAAAGATCAAACTATTTGTGCTAACGCTAATAATTAATAATAATAATAATAATAATAATAAAACAATAATAATAATAATAATATTAGTGAGTGTGGCGGAAGTTAGTGAGGCAGTAGGTAAAATAGAAAGGGTAAGGCAGCCGGGATTGATGGGTAAAGATAATAGAAATGTTAAAAGCAGGTTGGGATATAGTAAGTTGGAGAGGTTGGTGCAATTAATTTAATAAATTTAGGGAAAGCGTAAGGTACCTAGGGATTGGTCAGAGAGCATGCATATTTCCTTTGTTAAAAGACTAAGGGGATGAAAAGAGAGTGCAAAGAATTATAGGGGATAAGTCTGCTGGAATCCCTGGTAAAGTGAATGGTAGAGTTATTAATTGAAAGAATAAGAGTAAGACCGGAGAATAGGATAGCAATGAACAAGTAGGCTTTGAGTAAAGGTAGGGGTGTGTGGACACAGGTGTTTACAGTTGAAACATATAAGTGAACAGTCTTTAGATTAGCTAAAGAGGTCTTTGTGCATTTTATGGATTTGGAAAAGCGTAATGACAGGGTGGATAGGGGGCAAATGTGGCAGATGTTGACAAGTGTATGGTGTAGGAGGTAGGTTACTGAAAGCAGCGAAGAGTATTTTTACGAGGATAGTGAGGCTCAAGTTCGAGTATGTAGGAAAGAGGAAATTTTTTCCCAGTAAAAGTAGCCCTAGACAGAATGTGTGATGTCACCGTGGGTTGTTTAATATATTTATAGAGGGGTGAAAAGAAGTAAATGCAGGGTCTTGGGCAAATGCTTGATTTAAAAGATAAAGAATCACACATACAAAGTGGAAGTTGTCACAGGCTGCTCTTTGCTGATGAACACTGCTCTTTGGGGAGATTCTGAAGAGAAGAGTTGCCAGAGATTGGTGTGATGAATTTGCGAAGGTGTGCAAAAGAAGAAATTAACAGGTGAATACAGGAAAGAGGTAATGTTATGAGGAATAACAAAAAGATTAGGTTATGAAAGATTGAATATCAGATTGGAGTGGAAGAGTATGGAGGAGGTGAATGTTATTCAGATATTTGGAGTGATGTGTCAGGCGGAATGGGTCTGTGAATGATGAGGTGAATCATAGAATTTGATGATGGGGAAAAGAGTGAGTTGGTGCACTTAGGGCTTACATCTGACTCCTGTGGAACAAAGAACTTGTCCCCTTGGAGGCAAAGAGGGGAAGTGTATGAGAGTATAGTTTTACCAACGCTCTTATATGGGTGTGAAGCATGGATGAATGACATGTTGCAGCGAGGTAGAAGGCTGGAGGCAGTGGAGTGATGTCGCATGTCTGAGGGCAATGTGTGATGTGGAATATAAAATGCAGAGAATTCGTAGTTTGAAGTTAGGAGAGGTGCGGGTGATTACCAACAACTGTTGTCCAGGAGGGCCCTTGAGGAAGGGTTGTGAGGTGGTTCGGACAATGTTAAGAGAATGGAGCGAAACATAATGACTTCAAGATGTATCAGTCTGTACGTGGAAGGAAGGCGGGTAGGGGATCGGCCTAGGAAAGGTTGGAGAGATGGGGTAAAGAAGGAGGTCTTTTGTGTGCAAGGGGCTGGACTTACCAGCAGTCATGCATAGCGTGTTTGATAGGAGTGAATGGAGACCAAATGGTTTTTTAATACTTGCCCGTGCTGTATGGAGTGTGAGCAAAGTAACATTTATTAAGGGGTTCAGTGAAACTGGCAAGGCCGGACTTGAGTCCTGAGATGGAAAAACAGTGACCTGCACTCTGAAGACGGGGTGATAGATGTTGCAGTTTAAAAACTGTTGTGTAGCACCCTTCTGGCAAGCACAGTGGATGGATGAATGATGGTGAAAGTTTGCTTTTTCGGGCACCCTGGCCTTGGGGAATCGGCCAGTGGGGTGATAATAAAAACTAAAAAAAATATATATACTATAATAACTATATATTACTATAATATATATTAATATATATATATATCTATATATATATATATATATAAATATATATATATATACATACATACATGTAATATATATTCATACAAGTATAATATACACACACACACCAGTGACCCTCGTTATCGGCCACAATCCATTCCGGAAGGTCAACGGCCTTAAACCAAAAAGGCCGAAAACTCAAACCGAAATAATGTTTCCCCTAAGAATTATTGGTAAATACAATTAATCCGTTTCATCAGATACCCAAAAATATTAACAAAAAATACATTATTTTAAATATTAACTATAATATTTTTCCATATACAAAAACAAATGAGAAAGACAAATATAAAGCACCACTTTTTACTAAAAAAGTCGAACATTACATACCTTTTGTTTGAAGACTTCTTGTTGGCATATGGAAGAAGGTGAGAGAGGGAATACATCCCCTTTGTCTTTTTCCTGCCACTAGGACCTCGGGCTTGAGAGTCACTGCACCCCTGTCACATCACACAAAAAAACTGTCACATTCTTCCTGCCGCACTCTCCCTGCCTCCCTACTACACTCCCTCCCTGCCTGCCTATAACACCCCTCCTTCCTGCTACACTCCCTGTGCATTCCTGCTACACTCCCTGCAAGCTGCAACACTCCCTGCCTGCCTGCTACACACCCTGTATGCCCTGCTGCACTCCCTGATGCTGCTACACTCCCTGGATGCCCTGCTACAGCTCCCCTGGATGCCTGCTACACTCCCAGGAATGCCAGCTACACTCCCTGCATGCCTGCATCACCTCCCTCAGCCTGCTACACTCCCAATGCCTCTGTGCCTCCTTGCTACACTCATACGTGCATTGCCTGCTACACTGACCTGCCTTCCTGCTACACTCCCTGCCTTTCTGGCTACACTCCCTGCAGGCCTACTACACTCACGCATGCCTGCTACACTTCACTGCCTGCCCTGCTACACCTCCCTGCAATGCCTGCTTACACTCTCTGCCTACCTGCTAACTACTCCCTGCAATGCCTCTGCTACAACACACCTTCTTCTATGCCTGCCTGCCTTGAATTCTATTGTGTTTCTCACTTTCTTTACCAAAGAACTTTACAAGGAACTTTCTTTTGGACCATGGTGGGCTTATGTTCGCAGTTGCAGTCAGTCCAATAACCAAAAACCAAAAAAAAAAAAAAAAGTATTAATAGTGACCTGATTGATGAAAGAGAGCATAAGTTTCCCCCCCCCCTTCCCACTTGCGCAAGACACAGAGCAGACTGCACTCACAAAACTCGAGAGCGCTGGCGGTGGACTCATGCAATACTGGCCGATAAGCTATAATAACAGCCGATAAACCCAGAAACAAAATTTCCGGACCAAAAAACCTGGGTGATAAACTTGAGTTCGGCCAAATAGGCCGGAATGATTGATAACCGCAGGCCACATATGTAAATAACATATAAAGTGGACCACCTGGTCATCGATATTTTTTCACTCCAGAAGTATGTTCAGCGTGCCAGACTGACCCGAAATTGTTCCCATAAGAAATAATTGTGAAGTAGATTAGTCCAAACATACCCCCAAACATACACGTACAAACGCACTTACATAAATACACTTACGTAATTGGTCACATGCGAAGGTAATCGTTATGCGGGGGTCCACTGTATACATAAATCAATTAAATTTCTTGAGCAGCTGCAGTTTAATATTTCAGCTGCTCCTGAGGAGATGTATGGCTGAGTCTCGACTTAAACACAGAGAACTTTGGAGAAATACTGTTGGTTTAAGGGATGACTTCTACACACTTAAGAAATTCTCTTGTAAGCAAGAGGATAAAATAAAGAAGTAAGTTAGAATTGGTGTTTTGCTTCAGTTAACTATCACTCCTATAATGCCATTAATTGAATGAATGATGTTGAATGTTTCCTTTTCTCTGCTTGCCCAACTTTAGTGGATGATGGTTGTTGTGGTAGACAAGAAAGAAAAATAATGCACTTTTGAGGATGTCTTTGTGATAGAATATATCTCATTAATATTATGGTACACAAAAAAAAAAATTTCTTGAAAGTAGCATACAGTGTGGATAGCTGAATTGTCACTTCTTAATTGTACCTGTGTAGTAGTTGTTTTGTACTGTCTATGAGTGAAGAAATATTAGTTAAAAAATGGTGCCCTGCCTTATGGTTGAAGAGCTGTAGTTTTTTGGTAATGTTATTTTTGCTAATGTGTAACATTGTCATTTTGTGTCAAGTTTGTGTACATAACATCCACACATATATCTTATGGATGCTCATGGATCACTACATCTTGGTACTTTCTTCACACCCTTCTTTCACCCTTTCCTTGGATTTTTTCCTCCACCATCATTCATCCACTTGAAATTTATGCACCCTCTTAACCTGTTTTATGTCATTATTTCTGTGTTCAAATCATCTCAATACACAGTTTTACTGGTACCTGTAAGTTTTCCTTTTTTTCCAGCACACTTTAGACACCTAACATTACTGCAAGGACTGTTAAGTCATCCTAACTGTCCAACATTTCTTGAAATAAAACTGGTGTACTCAAAGAGTACATCAGTTTTATTTCAGTTGCCTTTTTCAATGTCCTGACATGCCTACTTTGTCCTTCCTTTGATTTTCAAAGCTTTTTTTTTTTATCTAACTCCTCTTTCCTTCTATCATGTTTGACCGCAACCTGTCTACTAGCATCCTTCCAGGCACTGACCATACTCTTTTCACTTATTCCCTAAGAAAGTGAGCCTGTTGCAGTGATGGCTCTTGATTCAGGGAAGTTTAAATGCCTTCCCTGGTTTGTGCCGGTTTGTGTCTGTGCTCTATGACCCCTATGGGTTGAGCACCTTCCCTTGTCTTTCACCTCTGCTATATAACACTATGACCCCTGTTGATCTTACTTTTTCCATAAATATGCATTCAGCCTTTACGATAATTCATCCTCACTTTTTATGTAATATTATTGCATTGTAATTAAAAAAAGTGCAATAAAAATAATCATAGTGTGCAAAAATCTTGATATTTTGCACTGTACAGTAATCTACACATACACTGCTATGCATGATAATGTATGTAACTGTATTTATGTGTACCTGTACCTAAATAAACTTCCAGCTAAAAAAAATTACAGCAAGTAACATGTGAAATTTGGGTAATGTAATCTGTAGATTTTTTCAACCAGCTCACTGATATCCAAAAGTGGCAGCTTCCCATGCATTTTATTACAGTACTACTTATTACTCTTGGTTATGCTTATTCGCATGCAATATATTTTTTATGTACAATATGATTAGAGTGGATAATGGAGCAAGTTGCAGTATGTTGTAAGTGTAATGGAATAGGTAGTAAGTTTACTAAATGCTGTAAAGAGTTTTTTATGAGGAAAAGTGAGGTTCAGGTAGGGAGTGTGTAGGGAGGAATGAAGGGAGATGACATGTCCCAGTCAAAGTAGGTCTTAGACAAGATGTGTAAGGCACCCATGGTTTGTTAACATGCACCAGTAGAACCAGTAGGGAATACAGTCACAAAAAAAAGGCAAGCAGAAAACCAGGCCTAATTCAAATTCTACGCACTTGGTATCTTGGGCATGGAATATCTGGAAAAACAGATGGGACATACAACTTTGACCACCCCAGAAAAATTCCATGCCCATATGAACAAGAGAAAAATAGCAATCCCCATTCCTGTAACTATTCCACCTGAAATGTGACACTCTTCAGTTCAGGAAAGACAGTGCTATAACTTATATTGCCAGGCACACCACCTAAAGGGGACAAGAAGATACAAAGCATCCAGACCATGGGAAAACTTGGGTAGCCACAGCAACTCCAGAGAGAGTGGTTTTTTAACCCCAAGAAGGAAGAAAAGTTGGCAGGAAATGACAGAAATCGTACACCAGCTCTGATCATTTCTGAAGTGGAATCACAGCCAATGGCCTCTACTCCAAAACAACAGATATTTGTGCCAGGACCCCCTTCCCTCCCCATACCACCATTCCGACGACATTCATCTTTGCAAGGCCAGCAACAAACAACAAAATGCCTTTCATCCGTGGGCTGCTTACAGAGTCAAACACAATGTTCACGGTTTTCACAGAGACCCACATAAAGGATCACTTGGATAATGATATAAGAACCTCGGTTAACAACCTATACAGAATGCAACAGATGGAACAGGCAAAAGGAAGGGTAGTTTGCTGTAACCTCACAGAGTCACTATATGCTCTAAACTAATGAATCCTCAGTTGATGTAGTTGAAGTTTTGGCAGTAAAAAAAATCGAGAATCAAACCTGTCGTTGTGGTTTGTATTCAAGCCTCCAGATGCAATGTCCCTAACAATTCCACTGTCTGGAAAAATCTTCCAGCTCCCTGCCCCCAACATCTGCCCCTGGGGGGATTTCAACTACTAAGGCACCTAAAATGGAGGAATATAGCAAATAAAGTATTGTATCATAGATAACACCAATAGTGCATGCTCAGATGAAAACTTCACACACACACGAGCTTTTAAATCATTTGCAAAACCAAATATTTCCTCCTTTAAACCAGCAAATAATAAAGCCTTCAAGATTTGGAGAATACCACTGGACCTCATCTTCACTAACAGTGATGAACATTGATACAAATGTCACCATACAAAAACAATTACAGTAGGGCCCTGCATTTTTCGGCGTTTTCGCCTTATGGCGGTCCAACACTAATATGGCAAACTCAAATATGACCAAAACTTCTATATAGCAAGTGGTTCTTCAAATACAGTGACCCCCGAAGATTCAATGATTAATCCGTTTCCAGAGAGAGTCTGCCGAATGGCGATACCGTTTTCTTCCCCCAAAAGAAATAATGGAAATAAAATTAATCGGTTTTCCAGACAAACTCCAAAAATGTTAATTTTTTTTTTATCAAATAAATAAAGAATTCCATCAAGAAAAATGATGGAAAATCAATACTACAATACATATACTATAGAATAATATGTAATAACATAACACTTACGCTTGCCAGACGACTCTTGTGGAGAAAGACAGGAGGAGGGAATAGGAGGAAGGTGACACTATAGTTTTGGAAGGGGAATCTACCATAAAGATAGTCAGGTACCAAGTCTTATCTATGGTTACTTCGCTCTTTGTTATTTAATGCCACTGGTAACAACTTGAGTCACTGGACCCCTGTTAATCAGAATTCTGTCCCAGAGAGCTCTTACTTCTGTGTATTTTCTTTAACCCTTTGTAGTTGGCCAGTTCCTCGTGCAGGAGACTTGTTTCTCAGGGTCGCCAATTTAAAAAAAAAAAAAAAAAAAAAATTCTTATGAAAAGATAGAGATCGTATTCCCCCGATCATAATGACACCGAAAGGTATGAAATTTGAATGGAAACTTAAGGAATTATGCTCTTGCGAAGTTAGCAGTCTGATGATGTTTATGAACATCTCGGCGATTTTTGCGCCACTTAGAGCCCTATTTTCGGCCAATCAAGTGTACTTAGCCGCAAAAATTTATAACGATTTCACCTAAGAACTTCCATTTTTTTTCTATCGAATGAGTACAAGAAAACCACCCTTTACGCGATTTCAACTATCCCAATAAAGATGGTCAGAATTTAAGCAATTTTGCCAAATTTTCACACAAATATACAAAAGATGATGCCATTTCTGAAATAGGTCTAGAATAAATCAAGAAAGACATTCCTGGCACTAAAATACCAAGTTCTCTGTTTCTTTAGTCATATTCCCCCAGGCCCCTCTTATATTTCTTTGGCTTTCCACTTTTGAATTTTGGTTGATTCAGAGCGCTGAATCCACCAGTAGGCCTGGTCACAGACCGGCCGCGGGGGGCGTTTGAACCCCCGAAACGCTCTCCAGTTAAACTCCAGGTTACAAAAAAAAAATAAGATTTACAGTTATGCAGACTACTGCATTAGTGTAGAAATGGTATAAATAATATCAGCACACATGTGAAAGAATATTAGACTCACCAGTTATGTAGGGGGGGGGGGGGGGGGGGGGGGGGGGGGGTGTTATTGGAAGCGTTTGGCATTGATTTGTTTACATTTTGTAATTTTGGTAAAAATCGAACATTTCTGCTATTTTGAGCTCAATTTCAAGGTACATTTATTGGTAAAAATCAGTCAAAATCGTCTCAATTTCCTGTAATATGTCTTCCATTCCATAAAATGAGACAAAGTAAAACTAAATACAACAACAATAACTACCATACGAAAATACAGTGCAAAGTCCTGTATTTAATCCAAAAACCGGTCAAAGTTTTTCTCATTACGCACTTTGTGCTGCATGATTTTTTTTATAGCTGCGCACACTGACCACATGAACCCATTGTTTCATATGTAGTGGCCTACCAGCTTTCTCTCACTAGATTTGAAGGTGCTAGAATTTAGGGCGTACTAAGTACGTCAAAAACCCTGGATTGTAAAAGCTGTACTCGTACGTCCGAAGAACCCCCAAAGGGTTTAAGATTTGTCTGAAATGAGACACAACACTGTCATTGTACATGTTTGCCAAGTACGCCTGCAAACAGCTTTGTCAGGGCAAAAATATCATCCATAAATAAGTGCACTTCAGTCCACTTTGCTAAATGTCCGTTAATTTTTGAAAAGGCACCTTCCTTCCATCTCCTTCCTTTTTCCTCAGTGGCAGCAATTTCCTGAGCTGTGGTCTCTTGCTGTTACAGATGAAGCTCTCCACTCTGCAGTGGTTTAGCTCTTCATCATGGTCCACCACTATCTCTTCCACACCCGAAACTCACATCCAACCCCATGAATTCACCAGTGACACAATACTTTCCACAACTGGCATAGGCTCCTTGGGGTCAGCCTC